TTCTAGTTTTCAGTTGAACTCCTGATCCCCGTCGTTAGGTCCCTTAACATGGACTTCATCATGGATCTTCCTTGGAGTGACGGCTTTGACAGCTGCCTAGTAGTAATGGATCATGATTGTACCAAAGCCTTGGTGTTCATTCCCTGCAACAAGACAGTTATAGCATCTGAAACAGCTACCCTGTATTAGAATCACATCTTCTGATGCTTTGGACTACCTATTGAAGCAATCTCCAATAGAGGACCACAGTTTGCATCACAAATGTTCGGAGAACTATGCACCAAACTAGGCATCAAACAGAACATCTCTAGTGTGTTCCACCCCCAAACTGATGGACAGTCAGAACATGTCAATCAAGAACTGGAATTGTATCTTTGGATCTTTTGCAACCACTAAGCAACAGATTGGATGCATCATCTGCCACTGGCAGAATTTGTGCATAACAACAGATATCATGATATAATCAAAACATCACCCTTCCAAGTGCTCATGGGTTACCAACCTTGACATAATATTCCCACTGTGAGAACAACTGATGCTCCAGACATTGCTTCTAGACTTACTCAGCTAGCACACCTCTGCACGGAAAGCCAATCCAGCATTCAACTAGCAGAGGAAATGGTCAAGAAACAAAATAAGGACAAGTTTGTTGAGTATTCACCTGGACAAAAAGTATGGTTGGAAGCAACAAATCTCAAAGGTCTTTGTCCAAAAGCAAAGCTTGGTCCAAAACAATATGGACTCTTCACCATCAATCAGAAACTGTCATCGGTAGTTTACTGCCTGAAATTACTGCCCAAATGGAAGATTTGTCCTGTGTTCTATGCAGGATCACTCTATCCTTATTTGGAAACAACAATACACAGAAAGAACTACCTCCAGCCTCCACTGGAACTCATCAAGAACCAGGAGGAGTTTGAAATTGAACATATCATTGATTCAAAGATAGTTGGCAAGTGAACCCTGTACTGGGTTTGATGGAAAGGATACCTGGCCTCAGATGACTCCTGGTTGCCAAAAACCAGATTAACATTTGCCAAAGATGCTTTGGCAGACTTCCTGCAACCAAACAAAGGATGACTTCTTATAAGAACTGTTCCTCCTCAGTCTCTCCAATAGTATCCACTACCATCCTCGCCGCATTCCTTATCATCAGCTGGTTCCTCATTGCCCTCCTCCTCCTCACTGTCGTCCTCGCCTACCTCCTCTTCAAAGAGGACTACCTTGTCCGCATCCACATCAACTGTCGCCCCACTCCAAATCCCATCAACAAAACCCCCCAGTGGCCAGCTTATTCAGGTACAGGAGTAACGTCCCCCATTCCCCTTACTCCTACACCCTTTACTGATTTACTCAGTGGTGAACCAAGTTGCCCCGCTAACCACTGCTGCTCTCATCGTCACCAACAACCACCCCCACCTCCTCCTCCTTGGCCTCCTTGGCCTTCTCCTAATCACCATCCTCTCTGTACTTGCCCTTGCCCTTATTGTCCCACTCACCCTACAGATCACCATCTGACATCTCAAATGTGAACGCCAGTGGTCTTACAACATTGCCACCACTGCCCAGCACCGCCTCCCACATACCACCACTACTCTACTGGTGATTGCTGCCAACTGGGACAGCAATAATCTGATGCAGGTATATTTCAAGTACATCAGGGATTGTCAAGAGTAGGAACAAGGGATCTCTTCTTGTCCATGGTACTTGGCTCTCCTGTATTCTCCTTCTGGTTTCATTGTTTTCAAGAAAAACTTGTCTTTTGCTATCTCCATATGCCTGCTGAGTGCAACAACTGCCCCAGAAATAACAATGCAACTTCACCAAACCCCAATCCACATTGTTGTCCTCTGGCTCCTGTTTGGAACTATCCTTCTCCAATGTCTGGTCTACAAAGAGTGCCAACCCCTTACCCTTCCCATCTCCAGACACTAGAAGAATGCTTCACAGCTGGAATAATAGAAATGCCAGTCCCCATTAGGCCCATCTTGAGCTTCCCTTCTCACCAGGAATCTGATGACTCTTCGCTAGAATTCCTTGAAGATGGAGGCTTTAGATACCCTATTGCACCCTTGACAAATGTCACCCATCAACCATTCCTTATTCCAAATTCTTCAGATTCTTCCACCAACAACACTGTAGTTCTACATCAATTTCCTGGACCCCTAGAAGTTCCCCAGAATACCTCTGAAGCGTCTACTGGAACTTACCATGGTGTTCCCATCCAATTCTTCACATCCTCTTCACCCATGAATGTCTTGTCCTCTCCAGATCCTGACCATCCTCCAGCTGAGTCCCTCACACCAGATTCCCCCAGTATGCCTCCCCTTGCATCTAATGCCTCTGATAATGGTAGCCTTGCCTATGCTCCTAATCTTCAACTATTGGCCAATGTCAGCAAGTACATCATGGCATCGGAAGGAGGACACAGCAGTGACCCTCAGGAATTTGTCATCTATAGTGACAAAATGATCCAGTGTCCTAACAACAATGTTACCAGAATGTGGCAAACAATCCCCTTCAATACTTCCACTCCCATTCAGGATGTTGACCCCCTGGAGCAAGTCATGCCTCACTTCCCTAGGGCCTACACCCACTCAGTGTCACAACCTCCTATGGGTGTTCCTATCAATAGTAATCCAGCCTTTGGACTCTGACAAGTCTCAACTACTATGGTATCAGCACTCCGCACCACCGATCCTGTTGGAAACTGGAACTCATCAGACAAAGAATGGGAGGAGGACACTTGGGAGTACCTGCTGATGCAAGACAATAACCTGTTAGAGAGTCTGTGGGCATTGTTGCAGGACATCAGGGATCCAGGAGTAATTGACAAAGCTGACTGGTTCAGAGCTGTCAATGCAAAAATTGGCTTACTACTTGCTGCACAAAGATCCATTGGTGCCAAACTTCTGCATACCGAGGAAGAAATGAGCCAGTGTTGAACTTATCTCAAGGCTGCCAACTTAGAGGAGCGACTCAAGCACCATGAATTTTCAATCATCACTCCCTCTTCCAGTGCCATGCCTCAGCGACTCCACTTCTGTACTAAATGTGAAGGTGAGGGACATCTACAGAGCAAGTGTTGGCATTGGGTATGTTCCTCCTGTGTTCTGCTTCACCTGTGCCATAAATTCTGCACTGCGATTGACGTGCAGCCTGGGCAATCCCCTTGTCCTACTGAAGAACCAAGCTACCTAAAGGAATGGTGTGCACAGTGGCAACTGTAATGACAAATCTGGAGAGGGGGGTAATGTTACAGTGTCGAGGGGGATTTTCTTTTCTTTCCTACTATTCATCATTGACCCTGTACTATTACATTTGATCCCATCACTTGGTGTGTTTCACTTGCATCATTGCTTCATATATATTGTGTTTCACCTTCATCATGTTTCATCTACATCACATTTCACTTATACCATGTTTCATATTCATCACTGATACAACCCAGTGAAACTGTTTCATGTACATCACTGATCC